GTCGATGTTGGTAATTCCTTGGATAGGTTCAACATCGACTGGTAATTCCTTATGGACCTAAGGCGACCATTGGGTAGGCTTTGTGGCCCCGAGATTTTTCTTGGGTAAGCCTCCGTGGCCCCGAGAATTGTCTTGGGTAGGCTCTCAGGCCCCAAGGTACTCCTTTAGGTTGTGCAGTTCTGGGGAACTGCATATGGCGTTATGGGGAACTGTATATGGCGTTCGGTTGGAGGATGATTTGAAGTTTTTAAATTAAAAACTCCTATGATATTTTAATGACTCTGATCTGTACTGATTTTAAAAAAACATAGATGTATGTTTTTATTTCTGCACTGTTGGGACACACTGAGCCTCTAGCTCACTTTTCAAACTGTTTTAGCTCCCTTTCAGATACTCTTAGATAGGCACTCTGTACCAGGTACTTGGAGGATTGACACATTTAGTACATATCTATTTTTTTGTAATGTTCTATCTTCCAAACTGCTTTTAATTATGGTGACATGTGCCTTATTTTTTAAAGTACTTATTGTTTTGATGTTTACTTCTTTTGCTACTGATATTTGATTTACTGTGCTCCGAATTTATTACATGTTTTATTTTACTTGGTCTCTTTTAGTTTATATTTACTAGTTGAGTTTTTATCGTTAATTATTATACTTTAATAATTGACATTTATAATATGATTTTAAATTATCGAATAACGTTTTTAGAAAAAAGTTTTTAAGAATCTTTAGTGTAATCTGCTATACTTAGTTGAAACACATAGGCTAGGTCTAGGGGGTTACAATATAGGTGTTGTGATGTTGATTCCATGTTCCAAGTAATGAAAAATCCATTAGTTTTCCTTTAGGGATCCATTTGGAAAAGATGAAAAATTAAGGGGTTGATGTTTTGAATTTAGTTTTATGTTAGATATGATGAGAATATTATGTTGTATGCCTTAACATGTTTTTTTCAGGCTTAAAAATGAAGAAGAATGGTTGAATCCTAATAGTGACCAAAACGACACTTTAAGAAAAGTTTGGGAATTATATTCAATGCTTGAATTTGATGAAGGTTGTGGTAGAAAATTACAATAGATGTTTAAATGTGTTATTTGGAACTTGAAAATACCTTGTAAGATGATGAATTATATTCGGTCATATGGTTTCTTAAGGAAAAAATTATAGGAAAATTTCAAGTGACTTATTTATGATATTTGTTATCTTTCAAGGATTAATTTAATGATTAAATTATTCGATTTAGACTTGAAATGTGAAATTTTTATGATTAGTCCTTAAAGACTAAAAGAGAAAAATAAGGGTTTAAGGTGAAATTGTGATTTTAAAGGTGAATTCAAGTAAGTTAAAGTGGAAAGAAGTATAAGAAACATTGCAGTTACAATGTTGTGTTGGAATGAATATTATGAATTTTTCATACACTATTTGCGCATGGTTAGATGTATTCTAACATGTGTTTTTGATTATTTGTGTTATATCTTTGATGTATTTATAGACATCAATCAAAACTGGGATCTAACTAGCAACAAATGAAATGAAAGGAAAAAGAACGAGCTTAAAGTTTAGTGAGACTTATATTTTGACTTGTATAAAAAGTATAAAGGTGAGTGCAATGCATACATAACATGATACATGGATGTTATATATATCATTAGGAAGACTTGCGACGAGTTTACCTTATTTATATTGTCATGAATTTATGTCATTAATCATATATTTGACATGTTCTAGATATGTCAAAAGTAAATATAAAATGCATTGATCCTTAGTTTGTTTATGATATATAATGAATGTTATTTAGGGTATGAACTACCTAATGTTAAATTATGTTGACATACAATGCCATGAATGAAATAAGTATACTATATTCCCAAGTAGGTCATTGAGGGACACTGGTATAGTTGACATGCCCTAGAGTCTAGCAGCAGACTGCATATTTGAATTAGCACGACCTTATATGTATTAGCACTTCAGTGCATATTTGACTCGTGTACCCAGGATTCTTATAGGCTTATATTTGGGCTATGGTTTATTAGTTAAGAAAATATAAGTAGATATTAAGCTTAGAGCTTATGAAATAAATGTCAAGTATATTGGTAAAAAATTATATACATTGTTCATTTCATGTTAATATGTGTAACATGAAGGTGATACAGGTAAAGTGATCATGGCGCGTTAAGTATTGTTATTTCTTTATATATACATTGTATTGCACTGATTATTATATTTGCCTCATACTTACCATGTGATGATTTTCACGCGTAGGTAAAAAACATAATATTGGAGTAAGGAATATCAAGCATCACACTCATCAAGAGGTATATCTAGAGTATCAATAATTACATCAATCTGATGTAATTTAAAGTTCTAGTTTGCATGTTTATAATAATAATAGTTAGTTTCTACTAGTTTAGATATAATTAATATTAGATTATAAGCTAGCTATGTTGGTAATGATGGATAATGATTAAAATAAACAATGGATAGTTTATATTAGTGTTTGTAATTATTAAATGAATTACAAGTTTAATAATTTGGCAAACAATAGAATAAAATGGAGCTACTGATTAAGGTTGAATATAGGAATTTTTTTAGCAACTATTAGTATGTATTGCTAAGTTGTTACCTGAAATTGGATTTAGTTTGGTTAATTAAAAAAACTAGAAATTGATGTTACTTAATAAATCAATAAATGGTTTAAATTTAAATGTTATATAATTAGTTTTGTAACACCCCTAACCCGTACCCAATCGGATACAAATTCGAGATGTCACATCAACTTTTCAAACATTTGCCCTTGAAAAATGTATATAATATTTTACATTTTTAAATTATAATTTAGTGGTGAAAACTCTTATAATAAATTTCTAATAAAAGTAAAACTAAAAATACATCATTCAATAATTTACAAAAATATAATGATGTAGGGTTACAAAACATATCAGAGCATTACAATTTAAAACGTTATAATACATGCCAACAAAATCTGCAAAATAAAAAACCTACATTCAAATTATTCTGATCTTACCATCTTCAAGAGTATGGTGTCATCTTCTAGCTTTAATCTTCACCTTTCTTCGAACCTATGTGTGAAACAATCACAAGCTAAGTCGTTGACTTAGTGAGGTAAATACGAGTAATATAAAACATTGTAAATTTTTTTCTTACTCATCTCATAGAAAACATTTCATAATGAATTCATGTTTTAATTCATAATAATAAAGTATACTTTTATACGTTGTTCGTTTTATATCACTTTGTTTTTATTTGCCCAATGCATACTACTGAGAACTCTAGGTATTTGAGTACATTGAGGTTGTGCACTAATGCAGTCACCACTACTCACATAATTTGCACCGAAATGTCACATATTTACCCCGAAAGACCACATAGTTTGTCCCGAATGACCTATGTTAAAAAGTAAACACAACATGAACAAAAGAAGCAAACATAGGATAAAATCGCAGAAGAAACAGAGGGCCTATTTAGCTTCCGGCCCATAGTGTTTTTAATGGTGAGTTGAGCTGCCTGTAAGGTGTCCTTCTGGTGACGGGAAGACTTACACTGAAAGATAGTGCACTAATAATTGACGGAATTACTGTAAGGTATCAAAGTCGGGGTTGTTCTTACCGGAATCTGGGAAGAGATAAGGAGACAGAAGAATAAGGTGGTGTGGGGTGTGCCACATTCATATTCCTATCTTGTGATGCTACTTGTTTACCTTGTGAAAGAGAATTTGAACCATATTTTGTTTCAATAAAATTGTTTTGGACCATCCAGCTCAGTTGGTAGAGCACAAGGCTCTTAATCTTGGGGTCGTGGGATCGAGTCTCACGGAGGCATTTCATAATTCGGAGGTCTCCTATGAAAGTTGCTCTCAACTTGGCGTTGGAGGCAGCCTACTATCTTACCTCTCCCTTACCGCATTACATATGAGAATAAGGGTCAACTAATTTGTTTTGGACCAACACTTCACCGATCAACATTTCTGAAATGGTAAACAGCTGTCCTCCCTCTCAATTTTCTTCTTACCAAAACCAATTACTCTAACTTCAGTATTACTAAAGCCCAAAAACTTCCCTTGTAATGGCAAATTGCTCACAAAACGGGTGGGGATAGCCAATCAATTTTAAAGCTTAAATATCCCCCACCTTGGAGTCTGCGGCATCCGTGACCCCAAAAATTGCATAAAATTTTGTGTCTGCTTTGGAACTTTAAGACCCAGAGAGACAACGAAGCCGTGCCTTGTTAAAACTGTCCCTTAGAAGGATATATAAAACGGACCTTATTTTTAATTTTTTATTTTATTAATAATATGTTTTTATTTTCTTCAAAATTTTAGAAATTTATCTCTTCTAATATAAAAAATTACATTTGTTCTTTATCCTTTTATTATTTTCATAAATAATTATGTAAGTTGTATAAAAAATTTCGTTTGTCCCACTAAAAGTATGATATCAACAACCGATAGCATACATACCTGCATAATATGTACTATTTAAAATTAATATAATTTATTTATATTTATAATATATAATTATAAAATAAGTTTATAGTGATATTTATGATGTTAATTAATAAAATCAAATTAACACCATATATAAAATTATATATTATATATTCAACAAAAAGTTCTGTATAATTTTGACCCTAAAAAAGTTAGGGTTAGGTATGATGGTAATTGCACACGTGATCATTTTTGCATACTTTGGGGAAGATATCCGCTTGGCAACTTTCCCTCCTCCCTGCCCCGTGACTCTACTTCTTTTTCTAATTTTAGCCAAACAGATTTCTCAGTCTCATACTCTTCATGAATCAGTGAGTCAGTCACCGGTTATGTGTTCTTTTATAATTTGCAAAATTGTCTTCTTATTTAATCCTTCTGCCACTCCTTTATCCTCTTCTAAATGACCCTTTGAAGAACCAAAAGAAGATGAAAGAAAAAAAAACTTTCTTTATAGGCTTAAAATTCTTGGATTAAAAATGATTGTTTTTTTTCTTAGGGTTTTGATTTTTTGTTCATTTAATTTAAAACGATTACAATTCGCAGTACCCATTTTCTTCGAGAAAACAATATTCTCCGGTCTCCAGCTAGCCACCTTATCTCTCAATCTTCCTGCTTATGTTCTAAAAAAATTCAAAGCTTTTGTGGGAGATTTGGTTCCTTAATTTTTTTCGAAGGAAACATCAGGAGAGACATGGAAGCTGTTTTAAAAACCAGAGGGCTTCTTTCATTACCACCTAATCCAATCAGAGCCAGAAGTCTTTTGAACCCATCACAAGGCTTAAAGCAGAGGCTTTTTGCTTCAAAGCCCTTAGGTCTTAATGGGATATCTCTATCTTATAAAAGAGTACCAAGGGTTGTAGCAAATCCAAATGGTTTATCCCCGAAAGGGAAGAACTTCATTTGCAAGGCTGAGGCTACAGCTGCAGCTGATGATGGCCAGCCTTTGATTGGGGAATCTGAGAAGCCAAAGTTTTTGGGTATTGAGCTTGTGACTCTTAAGAAGATTATCCCACTTGGGTTAATGTTCTTTTGTATCCTCTTCAATTACACGATACTTAGAGACACAAAGGATGTCTTGGTTGTGACAGCTAAAGGAAGCAGTGCTGAGATTATACCATTTTTGAAGACATGGGTTAATTTGCCTATGGCAGTTGGGTTCATGTTGTTATACACCAAGTTGGCTAATGTTTTGTCAACGAAGGCTCTTTTCTACACCGTTATTGTTCCTTTCATAATCTTTTTTGGTGCATTTGGGTTCCTGTTGTATCCTCTCAGCAACTACATCCACCCTCAAGCTCTTGCTGACAAGCTTCTTGCAGTTCTTGGACCAAGATTCCTTGGTCCTCTTGCAATTTTCAGGATTTGGAGTTTCTGTTTGTTCTATGTCATGGCTGAACTTTGGGGTAGCGTGGTAATTTCTGTTCTATTTTGGGGGTTAGCTAATCAGGTGAGTTATACTATCTCTATGGGATTGAATTTTGGAAGTGATTCATATACATGATTGTACGAGCATGTCGGTTTTGTATACTTCGATTCTGGTGTCAGAAATTAGCATTTTTAATTGAAATATTGGAAAATCAGCTATACTGAGGAATATTCTTATTTGATTTCCCTTATAAGAGTATGGATTAGAAACTTGGTGATCTTCTGATTGGATGTTACTCCTAAAAGTTCAAACTTTCAATGTCTTAACTGAATCTGCACCTTTTATTTGTTCATTTATGCAGAATTCAAGCAATTGTGACTTTGGCGTTTGCTTCACATGTTTAGTTGCAATCTATTACTTGTGTTTCTAAGCTTTTCGATAGTTAATTTCTCTATCTTTTTTGCATCAGATGCATGTCTTAATCTGATTATTGCAATTACCTTTGCATAGATAACTACTGTAGATGAAGCAAAGAGATTCTATCCTCTGTTTGGACTTGGAGCGAATGTTGCCCTCATTTTCTCTGGTCGAACTGTCAAGTACTTCTCTAATTTGAGGCAAAATCTGGGTCCTGGAGTTGATGGCTGGGCCATCTCCTTAAAGGGAATGATGAGCATTGTGGTGCTGATGGGGGTAACCATATGTTTCCTATACTGGTGGGTGAATAATTTTGTTCCCCTTCCCACACGTAGCAAGAAGAAGAAGGTAATCCATATTTGTTTTTAATTATCATAGGTTCTTTAGGATGTGCTTATTTGAATCTGAATATTTATTTCTTTCGTGTATATAATTTTTGGTAAAATCTCTAGTTACTAAGAAAATACCAGTAAAAAAAAAACAATTCATTTGTACCTGCAACTGTATGATGCTACAAATAAGAGAGTTCTTCATGCTTAGATTGTTTATGCATTCCGAGTGAAATTCTGGAGTCAAAACGTGCATGGTGCCTAGTTTCTTTTTCTTGACAATTGCTCTTCAGGAAAAGCCTAAAATGGGAACAATGGAAAGCTTGAAATTCTTAGTATCTTCAAGGTACATCAGGGATCTTGCTACTTTGGTGGTTGCATATGGTATTAGCATCAACCTTGTTGAAGTTACCTGGAAGTCGAAGCTCAAAGCTCAGGTAAAATTTTATGTTATTTGTTTTCTTCTTGTGTTTCGTTTTTATCTTAACAGGCTTAACAAATGATTCTCTCTTCACTTTGCAGTTTCCAAGTCCGAATGAATACTCCTCCTTCATGGGTGATTTCTCTACTGGCACTGGAATAGCGACATTCACTATGATGCTACTAAGTCAATTTATATTTGACAAATACGGATGGGGAGTTGCAGCAACAATTACACCCACTGTCCTGCTTCTGACTGGAATTGGTTTCTTTTCCTTGATATTATTCGGTGATCCATTTGCGCCTGTTCTTGCAAAATTTGGCATGACTCCTCTTCTTGCAGCAGTATATGTAGGTGCCTTGCAAAACATTTTCAGTAAGAGTGCAAAGTACAGTTTATTTGATCCTTGCAAAGAGATGGCCTATATTCCATTGGACGAGGACACCAAGGTTTGGAATCGTTACTCGCAGTTTTAACCCTTTTATGGTTTGGCGTGTCTGTGTCTGTAGCTTCTGGTCATTAACTTGGAACCTATTTGATACTGTGTTTAGATTAAAGGAAAGGCTGCCATCGATGTTGTCTGCAATCCATTGGGGAAGTCTGGGGGTGCTCTGATTCAGCAGTTCATGATCTTGACCTTTGGATCACTTGCAAATTCAACCCCGTACCTAGGAGGGATACTCATGGTGATTGTTTTTGCATGGCTAGCAGCAGCCAGGTCTTTGGATACACAATTCACAGCATTGCGTAGGGAAGAAGAACTTGAGAAAGAAATGGAAATAGCAGCCGTCAAGATCCCAATTGTGTCTGAAAGCGGAAGTGCCTCTCATACAAGCGATTCATCGGTAAACCCAGCAGCAGGTGACTCACCCGGAAGTTCATCTGAAACATCGACTCAAAGCAATATCTAGAAAGTAATTCTCCCGGTTGTTATGGAACAGGAAGAATAAGCAGCAGTGGTAGATGACTACTGCTACTCGAGTTTAGTTTTTATGTATCTAAAAGCGAAAATGCTTGCTTCATTCGACTATGTTTTTAGCTACATTTCCTCAGATGTCGAGCCTAGTGTTTGTTTAGTTACTCTCTAACCAGGCGTTTTCAAATTTCAAATTTCAGGCGATTTCAAACTTCAAATTTCCATTCCTTGTAAACCACATCCACACTCCCCGGCATCTTTCCTCTCAAACCCAGTGGTCGGCCACCACTTCGCTGCCGCGACAGTCACCGTCAATAGTCTCCGACCGTCGCTCGGCGGCATCGGAAAAGGAAGAAAAATACACCTTTTGAATCCTCTCTTCACCCCAAGCATAGATCGGACGTTGGTTTTTTCAAAATCGAAATAAATCGGAGTAGATCTAGAAGAAAAAATTCGCGTTCAGACGAAATTCTCCCCGTCAGACAAGAAATTAAAAAGGTTCGTGGAGTTCGTCAAATGATGATTTCTCAGTGGCGGTGCTTGCTTCCGAATTGGGTATAGAATCCCGTCCTTTCTTTTTCAACCACGACACTGAAATCGAAGACCAAGACCACTGGCTCGACTGTCCCCAGGATTTTTCCAACCTCGTTCTCCTCCAGTTCTTCTGCCGTCAGTGACGCGATAAATTCGGTAACTATATCATCCGTATCATCGGAAAGTATTTCCCGTTGAACACAGGGACTTCCTGTTTTGCTCGCTTCGAAGTCATCATCAAGGATATACTTCCACAATGAACATAAGCTGACTGATTCTTCAATTTTGCCGCCTTTGTTGGCTCTACCGAGCATTCTCTGTATCTTTGAAGAAAGAAGGATTCCGATCAGTTTTCAAATTCTGCTTTGCTTCAGATTTTTGTTACAATCTGAATTTAATTGCCTTCCGAGTTGAGAATTTGGTTCAATCGTCAACGCGTGTGCTTGAGTTATATCGGATTTGGCGTTAAATCCAAGCTTGAGATTTTCTTCGGGTCGTCTTATGATGGCAAGTAAGGTGACTAGTTCTGTTGGGAAAAATTGTTTTACGGTGATCATTTTCAACATTCCAGAGCGTCTTCATCATAAAGGGCTTTGGCTGGTATTCGATAAACATGGAGAGGTGTCGATTCTTTCATCCCTAACAAAAGAAGCAAGGAGGAAGTAGGTTTGGCTTTGTTCGTTTCACCAGATTGGAGGACGCAAGGAAGGCTATCAACTGTGTTGACAGATCTAGGATTCGCCGCAATGAAGTTAGAGTTTTTTTGGCCAGATTTCAACCCCGGGAAGCTTTTTGGAGAAAGAAGTTTTCGGGTTTAAAACCAGCCGAGATCAAGAGTAAAAGGGAAGATGTTGGGCATTTAGAGGCTCCCATGTGGGTTTGTTGACGAGGACAAACTGCTAACTTGCAGAGGCAGCTTGGTAGGTGGTGCAGAAATTTTTAAAGATGAATGAGTTGGCTGCCATAATGCATAAGGAAGGCATTTTAGGCCCGAAAATCATGAGGCTAAGCGGGTTAGCAGTTCTAATCATTTTTGAAGATGATGAGAGTATGGATTTCACGCTGAATAATCAGATGGGGGCATTGAATAAATGTTTTGACAAAGTAGAAGTGTGGTCGGAAAACTTTCATTGCAGCAGCCGTCGGGCGTGGCTTTCGTGCAAAGGGATCCCACCGTTTTTGTGGAATCCCTCCACCTTCAGAAGCATTGCAGACAAATGGGGAGAACTTATCTCCATTGACGAAGGATCTGTGAATCCAGGTTCTTTTGAAAGGGTTTTGTTTCAAATTATTACAAACCGTCAAACACGTATGGAAGAATCCGTTGTTTTGAAAGCCGGGGACTTGTTATTTACAGTTTGTATTTCTGAGTTTGAGCCTTGTTTCAGTCCCGACTCAGTCTGGGTAGACTCGTTCTTGATGGATGAGGCAGTTGCCTCCCGTTATCTTTGGTGGGGGAGCTCGTCGGTGTCTCGCCAGTTAATTCTACCGTGGTGGAGGTATGTCTTGAGGGAGCTGGCAGAAACGAGGACTCTTCGGTGGAGAAGATTTCTGAGCGTTGTTATGTGGATGAAGAAAGTCTATTATGTTGTATGGGGGAAAAAGTTAGTGGCTGCTTCTCGTCGGGTGGGGAAGTAGTGGAAAGGAACATAGGGGAGGATTTTATTATGGGCTTAAGGAATTATGCTGTTGGGTGGGATTATTCCATCGGAATTCGAGGATGTGGTGGAGCACGAGAATGTGCTGGATCAAGGGGCTAGAGAGTCAGTTTTTGAAAGCAGCGAAAGTTGTATGTCTGCACGTGATAGAGAGAGAATATTGGATTTTTTTGATTCATCCAACTTGGATGGTCGGTTAAAGGCAAAGGTGATGAAAAACGTGATTAACATTATTAAGAGGCGTGCTATTAGTAGTTCCAAGGGTGTGGAGGCCCATCAGGATGGGGATGCCCAACAGGTTGGGGCGGTGGTTGACAGGATGGATGGCAGAGATATATCGGGGTTAGCAGAGAAAGTTTCGGGTCCCCAATTAATGGCCTGATATAGCCAAATCAAGCAGCAGTAGAAGGTTCAATGTATGGGAGATTTGTATGTTCTGGGAGCCAGATTATGATTCCATTTTTCCAGCTTTGGAGCCAGAGTCTATAGTTTGGTTTTCTGCCCTCTTCGTGTGGATGGAAGCTCTGGTTGTCTGTGTTTATTTTGGATACTATGGTTTGAGTCAGCTGTCATTTTTTCTCTCTTTTTTAGGTGTTCTGTTTTCTGGTGCTCTCAGAGTCAAGAGTTAGACTTTTAGTTGGGCCAGTCCTTTAGAGGCTGTTGTGGTTGATATTAGGTTGAGCTACTGTTGCTGCTATGGGGGTGTTTTTTGGTTGTTTTATGGTGTTTTGTTTTATGTACGGGGTCGATATTTGGATGTATTTTGGTGTTCTTATGTTCAATGAAATCCTAAGGCACTCTTTTCCTCCTTCCGCTGATTAAGAAGCTTCTCTTTAAGTCTCTATAATCAAGAGGGAGGTTTTTAATGAGGCCTTCAATTCCTATCAAAAAAAATCCATAGTGCTATACTCGTCTTTAAGATATTATATATATTCATAGAAATGGTTTGAATTTTTCGGACTTAAATGTTTTATTAATCATTTTAGACTTAAATTTTTATTATTGTCTCTCTAATTATTTTTTTTATTAAATTAATCTAAATGTAACATGACAGGAATGATGCTTTTAAAATAATGTCAATTAATTTATCTGTTTTATCGTATCATCAAAAAAATTAAAAAAATTAGTTAATTTATCTTTATTAAAATAATGATATTAACTTTTATTTTATAATTCTTTTTTATTTTTTATGATGTAGTATAAAAAGAATAAAATAATTGATGTCCATATTTTAATAAGAAAGAAAATAATATTATTATTTTGTTGAATGCGGGGTATTGAATGACTTGTATATAACTAGACTCGGTGTCTTTTTGTACTTAGAATCCTGTATAAGTCGGTTCTGTATTCTTATCTTCATGTAAATATGCATGTAAATATGATTACTAATCTTTTTAACAGCTTTAAATTATATATATAATTTTACTTTTATTATTTGTTTATTTCAAAAAATATAAATGATAACATCAAATATGCATAATTCTATATTTATATGAAATAACAAATTAAAAATTAAATTAAAGTAAATAATAAAAAAATGATTTAAAAAAGTGCAAAAGACATAATTATCACATAATCACAATAAAACGCGTCGTTCCTTCAAATCTCGAAATGCATCCACGAGCGATGTTGTACTAAAGCTCCTTGCAATATCTCTTTCAATGTTGATAAGCATGCAACTCTCCAAAAATTCATCCTCCATTTTGTTGCAAAGTGTTGTCTTGATGATATTCATTGTAGAAAAAGTTCTTTCAACACTTGCTGTAAAAACTATGAGAGCCAATAGAAGTTTTACTGTTCGAAATATATATGGATAAGTGTTCACTTTCCTAGTATCTACCAACCACTGACTTAGGTAAGAGATTGTCAACAATTTTCTTATACCTGAATTCCAAGATAACTCCACCTCGTAATGACGCAATTCTGTTCGTAAATCATTCTTTTCAACTTTTGTGAAATCCTCCGGATAAAATTTATTCACAAGATTACAAATGTCTTCAACCTTGAAAATTTTGTCACCGTCTCTTGGCTCCAAAGCACAACCAAGAGCTAATAACTCTATTGACTTCTCATTAAATCTACTATTTAACTCTTGTAGTTGAACATCAACTGTAGCATAAAAAATTTCTACTCGATAATGATGTTTAACTGTAAAATGATCTTGTTGGCGACGAGCGCAACCTCCTCTTTCTCTATAAATAGAACTCATATATGGGATATATATGTTGCGACTTTTACAAAATGAGGTAACCTTGATAAAAAAAGATTATTTCATCCACCATCTCTAAATTTCTGCAAAAATATCTTTGAACTCTCAACAAGATGTAGTGAATTCAAAATATCCTAAGATTTTTATTGTAATGATTGAGAAAGTGAATAAGTGATTTCTAATATTTTCTTCATAAGATGTAAAATGAAGACAAAATCAAAGGAAGTCAAAGTCTCTAAAGCTGTCGTCGCTTCTCCACGTTTCAATAGATGTTCTTCCTTCATCAATAAGTTTATATAAAACAACACAAGTGACACTAAACATTTTATCAAGCTTGAAATTGATCTCAAGTAAGAACCTCATCGAGTATCAGCTGTCATTTGCAAATTACTTGTTTGATTCAAACCAGTTCTAGTTTCAAGTTGTTCCTCTTCAATCAAATGATTTATCTCATCAGAATAAGCATTTTTTAGTTCATCAATGCGCTTATATAAGGCAAGAACAATATTGATAATAAAGGATAACTTGGAAAAAATTGATAAACATGTATAACCTCTTTCGCTGCAGCTACTAGTGCCAACTATAAATGATGGGAAAAAATAATACACGTAGTAAGTAAAAGGACACTCATTACTAACTAATGTTTTTAATCCATTCCACTTTCCTCGCAGTTACTTGCACCTTCATAACCTTGGCTCGA